CCCGAGAGCTGCCGGGCTGCCGGGGGTCACGGCACCTAGAGCCTGCCGGGGCTCTAGCTCTGTCTCTCTCTAAATAAATGCAGTAAATAGATTGTGTTTGTTTGTTTGTTTATTTTAAGTTTTTGCCATAGGGTGCATGCACTCACCGGAAAGAAACAGAGAGACAGAAAGCGAGAAATCACCCCCCGGGAGGATGGCTATGCCACAATCCCTTCTCTTCCATTCTCCTCCTGGGATCTTGGGCACACAAGCACACACACACATACACACACTCGGCGTGATTTTGAAGCCATCGGGTCCAGGACTTGAATCGTAGCCAACCATGTAAGAGTCCAGCACCGTAACCACCACACCGCCTGCTGGGCCCTGCATAAGCTTTTTCCAAAAATGGAAGAGTTAAGTTTTCTAGGTGTGTATAAGCCTGGGGCAAACAGGTAAGGAGGCTGGACAGCAGCCCAGCAGGGGACGCCAGCTCTGCCCACGGACCCTGTCAGAAGGCCCCACTGAGCATCTGAGGCCTCCCTGGGTGTGTCAAGCATGCAGCCGTGACTGGGGCCAGATGAGGGGTCCTTGTGACCCTCCTGGAGGCCATCTGTCTGTTTCTCTCTAACTCTTTCACTCATGGAAGAAATAAACTTTGAAACAAATTAAAAATCAGGAGGCCAGTAGGTGGCGTGGTGGTCAAGGTGCTGGACTACCTCCCACATGGTGGATGGTAGTTTGAGTCCTGGACCTGGAGGCTCATTTTCTCACTTTCTCTGTCTCTCTCTGGTCAAATTAAAATAACAATAATAAAGAAAATAAAAAATTTTGGGGCCAGCACACGGTGTAATGATTACATTGCTGGACTCCCACATAGTTGACTATGGTTCGAGTCTCAGATCCAGAGGCTTAAACTCACACCGGGCCGTGTGCATGTGTGTCCAAATCCAGGAGAAGGGAGGAGAAGGGAGGGCGGTGTGGCCATCCTCCCTGGGGAGTCATTTCTCACTTTCTGTCTCTCTGTTGCTCTCTCTCTGGTGAGTACATGCACCCTATAGCAAAAATCTAAAAGAAAAATTAAATAATTCTTTAAAAACAAAACAAAAAATTAAAAATCAGAAGCATTATGCAAAGTGAAAAAAGCCAGACGCGAGCGCACGCGCACACACACACACACATACACACACAAAACACCCCCCAAATCGTACCTAGGACTCCACTTCCTGCCAGCCCCGGAGTCAGGCCGCAAAATAGGAGCAGAGGGCGGCCCAGCGGCTCCAGCTCACACCCTTCCCACTGTCTCCAGGGATCAGAGCCTGCCGAAACCCTGAGCTCTGAAGAAGAGGTGGACAATAAATGACAGCCGGAAAGAGCCCCGCCCCACCCCTGCAGGACTCTCCCCCCCCATCCAGCGCCTCTGGCCTCAGAGGCCACTTCACCCGCTGAGATGCCTGTGCTCTCTGCTCCCCTCCTCCCCTCCCCCAGAGGCCCTGAAACCAAGGCACCAGACTGAGGGACTGACCCGTTCAGGTGCTTCTGGAGGGGAGGGGTGGTGCCAGCAGCCCACGGGTTAATCATCCTGGCAGGGGCTCCCTGAGGGACGCTGGGGTCAGGTGTCCCTCTGGGATGGGACAGGCACTCCTGCTATTCCCGGGCTCTGAGGGCTGCTGTCTATTTATAGCGCTGGAGGTGGCCTCCCCACACGCAGCAGAGAGGCTGTGCCCTGCTGCAATGTCACCATCGTCACTGCCACTGCGGGCTGCCGGCACCTGCTGCCACTGCAGAGGACAGAGGGCCTCAGCCTGACAGCGACTCCAGGGCCGCCGGGCTCTGTGTGAGGAGGGCCTCGGCGAGCCAGATGGGCAGCACCATGGAGCCCCCGGGGGGCGCGTACCTACACCTGGGTGCTGTGGCCTCTCCGCTCGGCATGGCCCGCGTGCTGCAGCTGGCCTTCGGCTGTGCCACATTCAGCCTGGTGGCCCACCGGGGGGGCTTCGCGGGAGTCCAGGGCACCTTCTGCGTGGCTGCCTGGGGCTTCTGCTTCGGCCTCTCTGCCCTGGTGCTGTCCTGTGAGCTCACGCGTCTGCACGGCTGCCTGCGCCTCTCCTGGGGTAACTTCACAGCAGCCTTCGCCATGCTGGCCACCCTGCTGAGTGCCACGGCTGCCGTGG